AAGACCATAGAAGAATTGATGCTTTTGAGTTCTGGTGGTGGAGGACAATATTGAAAGTGCCATGGGCTGCCAAAAGAACAAACAGATGTGTTGGAAGAAGTACAGCCAGAGTTCTCCTTGGAGTCCAGGATGACCAAAACATTGTCTCTCATACTTTGGACATATTATCAGGAAGAGCCAGTTGCTGGAGAAGGATATCATGTTTGGTAAGGTGCAGGTTCAGAAAAAAAGAGGAAGAACCCCAGCAAGATGGATTGGCAAAATGGCTGCATCAATGGGCTCAAGCGTGGCAGCAATTGTGAGGCTGGCCCAGGACTAGGCAGTGGTTTGTTCTGTGTGCATAGGGTTACTCTGAGGTAGTACTGACTCCGTGGCACCTAACAACAACGAATGATATTATAAATTTTGGCAGAGAAAAGGTTCCCTGCCCCTGAATAAAACAAATGAGAGCGCCTACTTGGTTAATCCAGTGTAATTAGGTTTCTGTTCCATGTAGTTAAACATGAGCTTGGCTTAAGACTTTTAAAAGTCTGAAGACTTTTAACGTTCTGTGATAGTAAATTGAGTGCTGGAGAGGCACTGTAGAACAAACATTGGACCACAAGGCATGTTTGAACTGCAAGGTTGGCAGTTCAAACTCACCAGCCACTCCTAGGAAACCCTATACAAGGATTGTTATGGGTTGGCACCGACTTGGCGACACTAACAACAACATGATATTAAATGGTTGCAAATGGATTACAAAGTCCTTTAGAACAGTGTCTCTTAAACTCTGATATGCATGCAACCTTGTTAAAAGTGTAGATTCTGATTCAATAGGTCTTAAGTGGTGTCTGAGGTGCTGCATTTCTAACAGTGATGATGTTGGTCCTTGGATCATACTTTGAGTAGCAGGGATGGACAAATAGCTCGTTCACAGTTTGTTTCCATGTAGGAACTACTCTTTCATATGCTCATTATTCTGTTAAAAGTCTGCATATTGGGATGGTTGCACAACATGATGAAAGTAATTAATGTCACTCATAGTACAAGTAAAAATATTTAAATGGAAAATTTTTATTATTGGATATAACATGGAAGTTGACAAAGACTTCATTATTCTTGGATCCGCCAGCAATACTCATGGAAGCAGCAGTCAAAAAATCAAACGACGAATTGCATTAGGCAAATCTGCTGCACAAGAACTCTTTAAAGTTTTTAATAGCAAAGATGTTAGTTGAAGATTAAGGTGCACCTGACCCAAGTTGTGGTATCTTCAATAACCTCATATGCATGTCAAGTTGGTTCCAACTCATAGCAGTCCTAAACACAACAGAACAAAACACTGTTGTTGCTTGGTGCCATTGAGTTGGCAGCAACTTGACGGCACGTAACAGCAACAACACGCTGCTGTTAAGTGCCATCGAGACGGTTCCAACTCATAGACAATCTGTAGAGGGTTTCAAAGGAGTGGCTGGTGGCTTTGAATCACTGACAGTACAGTTTAAAATGACTTTATGATCTACTATTTATCCTACACCACCACACCCTGTGTAGGGTTTCCACACACATACACATATACACATCAAACATAAAAATCTGCAGAATACTCAATACGTTTTCAACAAAAAGTTAGATTTTATTAAGAATTTTGTTTCAGAGACAAGAAGCAGTTCATTTTATTTAGCAAAATATACTTAACAAATGTATTAAATAAGGCAAATTCAAGATTGTCTATGGATCTCCCCACTTTTTGTGTTACTTGGTTTTCTGCCAGTTGTTGGGGTTTCTTTCATTTAGTCTAAGTGGGTTCTTTACAAGCAAATGAAGCTATAATCCCAGACATTGCTCTACCGAATTCGAACGACTCAAATACTCCTTTGTGTTCTCATGGGATCATCAATGTACTTAAAGCATCAGGAAACCAACTTAGGAATGTAGATTCAGGAGAAAAATGTTCCCTTCTCTCCGTCACAGTCCCTTTCAGACAGATGTCTTGCTTGTTTGAAGTGGATGGGACAGTAAAATGGTACTGGGAGATGATGATCAAAATCAAATTGAAATGGTTTTCATATCATTTGTCATCACCACCCAAAGGGAACTGCAAACCACACAATATTCCCAGCTAAGCCACTGGTGCAAGCTTGTATATCTGCACATTGCTTCGTAACATTACTTTTTATTGTTATTATTATTTATGTACATTTAAAAAAATACAACATTGTGTTAAATAGGGCACAGTCAACAATGGAACATAATACAGCACTACACTGAGAAAACAAAAGAGCTGCGGTAAGCTGAGAAGAGAAACAGCAGACGGTCTTCAATGCTGCCAGTGCCCACCCTCTAGATCAGTCCATAACAGATCCACACTCTGAGGGCAGGCCTTCTGATCGTCGCCACTGGGCTAGGCGTTGCTTGAACCATTTCTGAGGAAGAAAAAGTACAAAGTTACCTGTCCTGCACTGAAAAACAAAAATATATATTCCTTTTCCAGCTGGAAAGGAAGGGAGCAAGAGATGTGTCCCTGGGGGTAGTGCACTTTCTTTCCTTTCCCATCTCAGGATCTCTGCATATGCTATTTTCTTTGCCTAGAAAGGTCTATCTTTATTTTCAATCTAATGATCCCCCTCTCATCCTCAGGTTTCAGTTTAAACAGAAATATTTTCAATAAAGTTTGCCCTGAATATGTTATCTAAACTGGGTTTCCCACCACTTCCTAACTCTCTATTGTAGTATCTTGTTATCTTCACAGAATACTCAGTGCTTGTAGTTACTTGATTTCCTTGTATTCACTTGATTGTTGTCTACCTTGCCTTCTAGAATGTAAACTCTGTAAGCCAAGGTCACATTCATCTTATCACCATCATACTAAGGGTTTAATAATTAGAGATTCATCAATGTTTGTTGAATGAATGAAAGAAACTGAAACATTTCTTTGATGCCCCAGATAGATCTCTATGGGTGCTGTGTTGCATTAATATGTGCTGATCTCACTAAGGGTGCATCAGAAGCACTCACTAAGTACTTGTTGAAAACAACAACTGGCAAACTGAACACTGGGCATCTCAGAGTACTCTTTGGGGTTACAGGGAGTAGGCCAGTCCAATCTCTTCTGCTTCAGGGACACTGAGCAGTGGGAGAAGAAACCACCAAGTTTACTCAGAATCTTCTAGCTCTGTGCGACCTAAATATTCACACCTCACAACAGTGACAATGTATTTAGGGAGCGTGTCAGATGGGGATTTTCTAGATGTGGTGTGATGTGAGAGCTAAAACATTTTATGTTGTAAATCATTGTGGTATATTCTTGAGAAGCTGCTGTTATTATGCTGTTAATAGGGGTGGGGAATCCTCAAGGAGAGGCCAAGGAGATCCATACTAGGGATTAGGGCTGGAGTATGGATGAGGTTGATTGAGGGGGAATTGATTAAGGGTTACAAAGCTGATCATCAGTTTTATACTCAACAAATCTTACACTTCAGTTTCATCTTGTTGATTACAATCCCCTCAATGTAACAATGTCACTGTCCAAGTTCTCCTTGTGGTTCCTGTTGCCATTCCTCCTTCTTTCCCAGCCCTTCTGAACTCTGTTGTTGGGTAAATGCTGCCCTTCTGATCTCAAGTGGTTGACCATTCTATGGTGTGTGTCCCCCTGTCCCACACATAAATCTATCACTGATTGACAGAAAATTGAGCCATGGGGGCAACTCCAGCCCCAGAACTGAAGGATCTGGCCTTTTTTTGTGTTGTTTTTTAAAAATGATTTTGGGTTTGGGAAACTGGGACTTAAAAAAACAAAGCAAAACAAAACAAAAAAAAGTATTCTCATACAATTTGATGAACTTGACTTACACCTATGGAAGCAGTAGCCCAAAAGAGGGAACAAGTCCTTACAGCAAGAATCATTCCCA